CTACTTTTGCGAGATACTGCAATACTACTTTTGCGAGATACTGCAATAGTTTTGCGGGATCTCGCAAAAGTAAATTTTATCCCTCCATGTCCCTTTAGGTGCTCCGTAGTAAACAGCAGCTAGGTTAATACCGCAATCAAAAACATCTTTTTAGGGAACAGTGCTTCTTGTGGGAGTTGGTCGTAAAATCCGACTTTATTCTTGTAAATGTACGGCTTTATTCTCATATTACGACTTTATTCTTTCAAAATTTCGACTTTATTCTTTTAATTTTAGGATTTTTATCTCGTAATATAATGACTTCATAATATTACGACTTTAATTTTGTAAAGTTACTTTATTCTCATATTATGACTTTATTTTCGAAAAGTTACGACTTCATTCTTGTAATTTTAGGATTTTGTTCTCGTAATATTATTATTATTTTCTTTTTTATTTGACAGTGTCCTGTCTGGAAATGTGGCAGAATAATTGTCTTGATGCCAAAAAGAGCCCAACAGATTTTACTTTCACAAGTGGAGCAGTACGGCTATCGCCATAGTGATCCGCTTGATTTATGCATATAAATAGCTTTATTATAATTAATGCACGGAGTATTACAGATTATATGGATACCGCAATGTAAGTAGAACAGGAAAGGAAAAGGAGAAAAGATCAAAGAAAGAGGAGATAAAAGGGAGATAATGATAAAACATCTTCATTCTGCTTCATCACCTGCAAAGAGATGGAAAAAGAACAGCACAACCAACAGATAAATTATAAGAGATACAATAAAGTAACACCTTGATACTAACGCTGAAGTATAAGTAGTAATAAAGTAGGAGAATTACAGACATGCTATTAGAAAGTCACAGTATAACGACTTTATTCTCATAATTTTTTTTAGTCTAGCCCTAAAACTCCATCGTACGATTGTAATTATGAAGGATTATAAAAAAAAAAAAAACGTGTTTACTATCTTATATAGCCTATAACGCACTTCTTTTAGGATCAACTTGTGTTTAATCACAAACCTTTCAGGGAATTGCGTTAAAAAGTAGTATTGTTGGTTTCACCCGGTTTGCTTTCGTAAATCATATATTTCCGATTAGTATTCCTGCTCATTTAAGGTGACGAAGAAGAAGACAAGGACGATGAGGACGATGACATCGCCTGCTCTATATGCCAGGACGAGACGTCGGAGGAGCCCAATGAGATCGTCATTTGTGACCAGTGTGGTCAAGGTGCGTTTGTTTTTACAGCAAACTATGAGGGAAACGGACATTAAGTTAAATCTGCATCCAGTCGAACATGTTCCTGTTTCAGCCGGGCGTCTGTTAGGGAGACTTACTGTGTGTGAATGGTTTCCCATGCAGGCTACCATCAGATGTGTCACTCTCCCATCATCGATGCTGCCGTCATCGACTCCGACGACAAGTGGCTGTGCTCAGAATGTCGGCTGGCGTCTCTGTCTGAGGTAGGAGCTGGATGTTGGAGAAGTGGCTTCATTCACATTCGGAAAAGAAAAAGTTTGCAGCGTTTGAGTTGGAACGTTTCTAATTCCTCATTTCTACTTTAAATCCTATTTCACGTTATTCTTAAGAGTGTTAAATAGGNAGCCTATAACGCACTTCTTTTAGGATCAACTTGTGTTTAATCACAAACCTTTCAGGGAATTGCGTTAAAAAGTAGTATTGTTGGTTTCACCCGGTTTGCTTTCGTAAATCATATATTTCCGATTAGTATTCCTGCTCATTTAAGGTGACGAAGAAGAAGACAAGGACGATGAGGACGATGACATCGCCTGCTCTATATGCCAGGACGAGACGTCGGAGGAGCCCAATGAGATCGTCATTTGTGACCAGTGTGGTCAAGGTGCGTTTGTTTTTACAGCAAACTATGAGGGAAACGGACATTAAGTTAAATCTGCATCCAGTCGAACATGTTCCTGTTTCAGCCGGGCGTCTGTTAGGGAGACTTACTGTGTGTGAATGGTTTCCCATGCAGGCTACCATCAGATGTGTCACTCTCCCATCATCGATGCTGCCGTCATCGACTCCGACGACAAGTGGCTGTGCTCAGAATGTCGGCTGGCGTCTCTGTCTGAGGTAGGAGCTGGATGTTGGAGAAGTGGCTTCATTCACATTCGGAAAAGAAAAAGTTTGCAGCGTTTGAGTTGGAACGTTTCTAATTCCTCATTTCTACTTTAAATCCTATTTCACGTTATTCTTAAGAGTGTTAAATAGGGGTGAGAATTAGGCCTGTCGCGATAATCAATAAATCAATTAATCGCACCTCATTTAATTTATCGGCTTATCGGTGTTTTTCTCCTTTTGATGACGCTGGATGAAAAGGTTCAACTCCGGTGCTATCCACTGACCCCTCCCCTTCCTCATTTTTGAGGAGGGAGGGAGGAGTGGACTATCGCATCAGGTCGTCAGCGCGCATCATTCTGTACTTCTGCAGCTTTAGAGCCCCGTGAGGAGTTAGAGGAGTTAGCGAGGTTAAAAAAAAAACCAGATCTTATGTTGGAGGGAAAAGCTCGAAATGGAACTGGTTTGAAAGCCGAGCGCAACAGCCGCAGTGTGGGAGTATTTCAGATTCAAACCAAATGACCGAGGCGAACCGGTGAACCTCTGCGAGCCAGTATGTCGCATTTTTTTTTTATAATACAGTAGCGACTAAGAGCAGCAATACAACCAACCTACACATGCAGCTAAAGCACAACAACCCAGCAAAGTTTCTCCAGCTGGAAACAAAAAGTGCAAGCGGTGGCCCGTCTGCGTATTCATGTTTGCGACAGTCCATCACTGAAAGGATGGAGCAAAGTGGCGCGCGCTCACAGACAGCGTAGTTCATTTAATTGCTAAAGAGATGCTTTCATTTAATATTGTTGAAAAGCCGACATTTCGAAAAATGTTGCAGACATTTGATAGACAGGATGAACTCCCCAAAAAACATACATATCACCAACGTGATATTTTGTATACACGTTTTTATTTTCACTGTGGTTTTATCTTGTGTTTAGTTTTTATTCAAATGTATTTTAAGTTAACAAACTGAGAGTTCATGTAAATTTTATTTCTCGTTTTATTTTGTTAACCAGTTCCAGTGTTAAGTGTTCTGTTGAAAATAAAGTGTGTTTATCTTTGGCAGGAAAATGCATGCATTATTACCTCATTTCCATTAAATCAGTTTAAAAAGGTCTTAAAACAATAATATCGTTTATCGCAATCATTTTTGAGAAAATTAATCTTTCTGCAAAATTTGTTATCGTGACAGGCCTAGTGAGAATTGGCATGGGTGTTGCGATACGATACTTGTCACTAGTGCTGGGTGATATGGAATAAAATCATATATCACAACATTAACTTTTTTATCACAATAATAATAATATATATCACAATATGCTCCAATTAGGTATGTTGTCAACTAATCTCTAAAAGAAATTATTGGTTCCTTTTGTCAACTTTATTTTGAAGTGACATTTACAGAACTGTCAAAAATGAGAAAAATTAATTTTCAGTTTAAGAACAATGCATCATGAGCTGTGAACCTTTAAACCCTCATACAGTTTGAGCTGTAGCTGCATGCAAGGATTAAGAATATCGCACAGCTTACGCCAGGCTTAAAGGAATAGTACACCCAAAACATGATTAGCCTTCATTTTCTACTCACCCCCATGCTGAACAACACTCTGGAGTACTTTTTTGATATCTCAAATGCATCTGGAGATCTGGGAGGCTTCTTGCTGTCTGGTGACATTCAAATATTCGAGGTCTATTGTGCCCGAGACAGAAAAGTCAAGTAAAAGTCCATAAAAACGTGTCAATATTCCTCCATACTGCT